TGTTAGGACCAGACTCTTCCACTGCAACACCAGTCCCCTTCAATTCAGCAGCATTTTTCCTGGGATATTGTTCTATGTCATGCATATTAGAGCAGCAGGCCACAATTCCTATATTTTAATTTAATGCTCTCTTAAGAATTATCAACTAAAGAGTTGATAACTTATTAGCGGGCAACATCCAAAGGTGTCTCAATAGACTCCACAGAGGGGAACCTCATTTTTCTGGAAGTCACTAACCTGAAAAGGTTGGTTAGTTCAATGCTGGCTGCTTCCACTGAAATTGTAGCATCTGTAAGAATATGTGCTTAACATAACCATGTTACAGTAACAATAACCTGAACAGTCAGGTAAAAGCAATGGATGTGAGACAAGAAATTACCACACTTATGTGACAGAGTTTTGAAAGCGCTCTTTTGCCTACCTTTACACAATAAAAATTTCAAGAAATAGAAAACTAAATTAGCAGCAGATACACCTGAGTGGCTACAAGAACCATTTAAGGCACTCTCACACAGCAACCTGCTGACCATTATTTATTATTTTGCACAGTTAGTACTGTAAGTTTGTAGAATTCTCACTATTCATTCCCCAAGACATTCCCCTCATTGCTATTTTCATTGGCCGGTAGTAACTGGCTAATAGTCAATGATATTTAGAAACAGCCTTTAAAAATTATTTTGTGCGAGGACATAAAATCTTCATTATCAGATGATATGACAATCACTTAATGACTACATCTTTGATCTCATTTTGGTAAGCAAGCAGGGAATGGGTACTGCACTTCCATTTGCCATACTGCAAAGGTTTCTTTTGCAGACAAATAGAGGCAAATTATTGGGAAAAAATACCAAGATCTCCATAATTAATTTGAATTTGAAATAGCTAACATTTGCTCCTTTCTTGACTCCTGTAATTAGACCTGGAGTCTTACATAAAAAAATACCCAGGAAACAAACCTATATCTTTTAGAGCAGTACCCAAGGAGAACTGATACAATGGCTGAAACCAGTAGGTAATTCTAACAGCTATTTCAGGAAAATAAGTTGGTCAGCACGGTGCCTATGAAAATCTTAAGAGCCTGATCATACCACTTTTACCTGGGTGGGAAATCCCTCCATGTAAACAGTATTTCCAAAATAACTTGTGTAAGAGCGGTATACATGACAGGGTCCTTAAGATCAGACTTAGCTGCCCAGAGAGAGTCACAAAGACTCCATATATGCATGAAATTATTATTCTTTGCAGTTTTGTAGTTTCTCCATATTTAAAGGAGACTGCCATTATTACTGGCATTCATCAGACACACCTTACCACTCCATATTCTACTGGAGCTCGCTTATTCTGGTCAACCAGTAATGGTATCAAGGTCTTGCTTCCCCAGGGAGGGAATCAGAGAGCTGCACAGGTCCTTTACTATAGATTTAAGGTCTACATAAACCCAGCTTGGTGCAGAAGCAGCATTTCTACTTCTATACTCTACAAAAGCCATAGCAGTAAGCTGGGCCCATAGTGAAAACAAAGTGCACTTTGGCAAAGCTAGAACACAGTGTAAAGTATTACAAAACATTTCAGAAAAAAACAGACATGAAAAACAGCTCAAAGCAATGCCTGATGCTTACAAAGCATCACGAACATGAATCAGTACTAATACCAAACTATTTCTGATCATTGATAGCAAGAATGTTCACTAGATGCGGATGATATGCTTCAGATATATACTTCCCTTGCATTTACTGTCTTACAAATCCCCACAGCTCGTTAACTGTATTTCTAAGATGTTTATAATAGCAAACGGAATAGTCCACAAGTAGTAAAACCTCGTGACTTTTGCTATGAGTAGACATAGTGTGAGCCTGAATTGCAAAATGACCATGTACCACAATAGGCAAGACAAAGCAATTTTTTTTTTTTAATTTTTCATCAGAAAGCAATGAATCTTTATGACACCCAAGTCTTCTGAAGATAAAGATGTTGCGCTTTTCAGCCAGCACTTCATCTTTGAGGCAGAATTCCATAGGGACAAATCCTGAACCCTTTTTAATGTCCAGACTATACCAGGTTTATTTCTTGCCAAGTCTCATAAGCACGGAAAAGGATTGTGTATAGTGATCTTCCCACTCCCGCTACACAAAGATTACTTTCAAAGTCTATAAATAGAATTTGATTATAGGAAAAACTTGAACTATTGTTCAAAACTCAGAGTGATTTTCTCCATTAAAATGATCAAAAGCCTCTAAGGTTGCTGTAGTTCTTACACATAACATCCGGTTTTTCTCATCAGTGAAAAGACACTGACAGTTTCCACTCATAGCATCAGGATTTTCTTCATAGTAATAAACAGGAACACCTGCACCTGGTCTTTCTATTGGTGGCTATTTGTATGCATTCCAAACCCCTTTAAATCTGCTTTCCAGGAACACTTAAACTCTTCAGGGAAATAAAGGAGGCCAATTCTACACTCTGAAAAAATGAGGTAGTAGAATATTGTTTTCTTCTTCAGTACACACATTTTCTTCATTTGTAGACATGTATTGGGTTTGCATGGCAAGGTTTTGGTAGCAGGGGGGCTACAGGGGTGGCTTCTGTGAGAAGCTGCTGGAAGCTTCCCCCATGTCTAACAGAACCAGTGCCAGCTGGCTCCAAAACAGACCCACCGCTGGCCAAGGCCGAGCCCATCAGTGGCGGTGATAGTGCCTCTGGGATAACTAATTTAAGGGGAAGAAAAAACAGTGGGGACCAGTAGCTGGAGAGAGGAGTGAGAATATGTGAGAGCAACAACTCTGCAGACACCAAGGTAGTGAAGAAGGAGGAAGAGTGTGTGTAGGAAGGAGCGGCAGACACCATGTGTGATGAACTGACTGCAACCATATTCCCTATCCTCCTGCATCGTTTGGGGGGAGAAGATACAGAAAATCTGGAGTGAAGTTGAGCCCAGGAAGAAATGAAGGGTGGGGGGAAGGTGTTTTAAGATTTATTTCTCATTGCCCTACTGATTTGATTGCCAATAAATTAATTCCTCAAGTTGAGTCTGTTTTGCCTACGATGCTAATTGGCAAGTGATCTCACCCTTTCCTTATCTTGACCCATGAGCCTTTCATTGTATGTTTCTCTCCTCTGTCCAGCTGAGGAGGAGGAAGAGTGATAGAGTGGCTTTGGTGGGCACCTGGCATCAAACTAATTTTAACGTGACAAATCTTTCCATAAAGAACAATAAGCCTTCCCCACACTCCCACCAAGGCTGATGAACCTGCTGTAAAGAGGGGGGGAAAAAAAAAAAAAAAAAAAAAAAAAAAAAAAAAAAAAAAAAAAAAGCATTCAACTAATTATATCACATACGAAGCAGGTTTGTTTTCATGCAAACAAGTTCTTATAATTTTGACCAAGTCACTGGGAGATCTGTATCGTGCTAAACATCAAGATCAATCCACAGCAAGTAGCTAGTACAATGCTGTAACATGTAATATTGACAGGAGGGGGAAGTGCCTGTTGGGGAAGGTATTCACAAAGGCTAACATTAGCCACTGCAGGCTAATGCCTTGGTGGCTTTCTCTGATCAGTACAGAGAATGGCTCCTCTAGAGGGCGATTCAGAACTGAGGATTCATTTAGCTACTCAATCTCTCTCTAGAGGACTCTTGCTTCCATTAACTTCAGAAACAGCCTGCAGAGGTTAGCCTCAAAAAGATCACGCTAGCCTTTGTGAATACTCCCCAGTATTTACCTTCCATCAGTAGGAACAGTGGCTGAAATTCACTACTGAGATGTATAGTCAGGTATACTATATTTAAACACTATGTTATTGCACATGGACTGAATTTTACCCAGCTGGAGCATAATGCTCCTGCCAGAAACACTGAAACAGTTTCCGCAGCACTTCTAAGATGACTGCAGGATTTAGTTTTTACCACTGCTCCACTGAAGTGCTCCACTTGATGGCCACCTGCATGCTGCCACACAAAGGACTGCTGTACCTGCAGCACCTTCAGAGTCTGCTGACGTTCTGCCGTCGTACTCGCACAAGCTCATTCTCTCGCTCACTGTATCACTGGAGCAGCAGCAGGAGCTGGGTTTTCACCATCAACCAAAACACAAAGAAGAAAAATTCTCAACTTTTGAGACCTGCTGTCAACAGTCTTTAGTCATTATTTAGTAGCAACAAGAGAGGAAAATAGTCTTTTAATCTCAAACACAGAATAAAGTTGGATTTTGTGACTTGGGAACACAAGGAAGAAAGCCATACTACTGACAGAACTATTATCTGGGCCATTTCCTAATCCTTCCAGTTCTCTTATGCTTCATCAGATCATTGTGCTTCCCTCTCTGAAAAATTTCCACGCTGTTATTACCTAAATAGCAGTGTAAGAAATGTTAGCCATGATCTGAAATGATTTTTACATAACCCTCCTTTAAGTAAACATCAGAACATCTTAGTTTCAATATTAATTTAACCATGATGGCGTTTCAAAACTATATTGCACTTTTAGACAGGAGGGAAAAAAGAAAAAAAAAAGTCACTATTTGTTATATTCGAGTATCAGGTGGTTTTTCAGATATTCAGTCAAGACATCTGCAGACAAAAATTACAAGCAATTAATTTGCCCCTTCCTAATTATATAGTGGCATTAGATTAATAGAAACTGTGCACTCTGCCCTTTAAGGGCGGTGTTCTGTAGAATTCTGCACAATAAGACTATTTTGGCTTGAAATGAATCTCAGAACCTGATGATTACAAAGTTAAAGGGCAGAGTTTTTAATTATTGTCAAAATCTAATCAAGAATACGAGAGGAACAAAGCTGGCACTTTTTTCATATGATTGTTTATTAAAATAAAGGAAAATCCAGAATTTTACAATTCATCTTAGAGTTGGAAAATGTTTATAGTCAAATATCACTTTCAGAAGATTTTTCCTCTATACACTCAATTTACAGCTACTCAGAAGGGCATTTTGTAATTCTGTACTATCTGACACATTATCTGAACATCTTCCTAGAGGACAATCATTGCACAGAACAGTTTTATTTGTGACAATACTCATTTAACCAAGCAATACATTGCCCACTGTTCTTCCTGTTAACCTCATCAGGACAGAAAAAAAAATGTAACAGGGTGAGATTTTGCCAAATATATTACATCATAAAGTAGATTACCAGTTCAAGAAAAGCAGCAATTTCTGTAATTGAAATACACAACAGATAGTTTACCCCGGCAACTTATAAACAAGAAGCATGTAATCTGAAAACAAACATTTCAATGAATTCTACACTGTTTCCCATGTAACATGCAGCAACAAAACAAAACTTTTAGAAAGAACCAGTATTAATTTACTGAAAAAGGAATGACGTATTTGACCAGTACCTACAAATTCCCAAATTATGCTGCAATTCTTCTCAGCTGATAGCACAAGTGAAGAGATTAGGTCTTATAAATTCTCAGAAACTGCATTTAATTTAACTTCACAATATGTCAAATGACGTATTAATAGAGAGAAACATCTGCTTTCTCCTTTATCTAAAATATTTGCAGCAATTAAATCTTGCAATTGCTTTGGGATGTTTGGTAGTTATTTACTTATTTGAGCAGTAAACCCCTGAAATTTCCCTTCTATTTGAGCTTAACACTTGAACCATGTGAAAACTGTTCCTCTAAAGATGGAATTAAGTTTAGAAAAAAAAAAAAAGAAAGAAAAAAAGAAGTTTTAGCACTCAGTAGGAACAATTTATTTGTAGCAAAATGATAACATAGTTCCCCCTTCCACAAAGGAGGCTCAATGTTTTCCAATACTTTAAATATCAATTGATTGCGGTTGTGTGTTTACCCTTGCAGTGTCAGTAACACCTATACAGAAGTCCATCTTTCTTTCAGGAACATAACATCCAATCAGACCATTTTTCTACTAGTCAGGGAAGAATGAGAGCATGAGCTAATATATTTGAACAAGAAAATAAAACCTTATCTCTGTTTCAAAAAAAATCAAATCCTGGAAACTCATTTTTGCTAGCTTTTAAAAAAGGCCAATTCATTAGCTGCGGTTTGGAGTTCCAAAATAAACAGACCTTTGCTTCATGGCAATGTCACTTATGTCAAAGCTTTCAGGAGATGTTAAGAACTCCCAACTCGATCTCTAGGAATAATCCGTAGATCTGAACCATGCTTTAGAAATACATTTCCTAGACAAACAAAACAGAATGTGTTACCAACCAACCGTTACCTAAACAAGCATGCACATTTAAAGGATAATAATGTTACGTCAGTGTTTAAGTGTTTAACATCTTTGTAGTAATTCCTCCAATATACCAGAAATGTATTTTTTATGTTTCCATGGAATTCCATGTTATCCCTCTTACTCCAAAGAGCTCTTGTTTTTAAACAAAAATACCAGACCCGAAGTAATCTAATAAGACTTGCAAGCTATGGTTTTTCAAACTTTGCAGTTACATACTTGCATGTCTGATTTCACTTATACACCGCAATAATTTAAAGACCATAAAATTAAGTTTTACTTCTCCATAATTACTTTTTTTATCTTGAGGTCATTCATGCATATACTAATTTTTAATTCTCTCACTGGTTCAGTACTTACCTGATTCTAACTTCAGAACCTCAACTGTACTTTTCTTTTAGGAAGACTCTCCACATAGCCAAACATAAGTCAGTCTCATTTTAGCATCACAAAAATCTTGAACTTCGTATTTATTACTGTATAGTCTTAATCACAATAGTCTTTCCAAGAGGACATAGTATAAAAATTAGAAGTTTCTAACACTTAAACATCTAGAATATTTTCTGCATGTATTCAGGACTGTCATTCAGGTTGCCTTTTTCTTCTATTAAATTTAACATTTGAAAATGAAAGCACATTTTTAAAAGTGATGCATTATTTAATTACTATATGGAACTATTTTTTTTAAAAACTTCATATTGTTACTGGATGAATCAGACTCTATGCAATTCTGCAATATCAGATTTTAATAATATTTACTTATTCTTTTTCATGTTTGTGCTGACTTGTAAAAACAGAAGAATTGTATTTCTCTCCCAAGCACCCCATTTCAGGGATGTAGAGTGGTCTCATGAAAAATAAACTATTTAACATTTGTTCAAGTTGTTAGCATACTGGAACAAAACTACACTTTTTCCAACTTTACTTTTCTGGCGCATGGATTGGGATTGAAACCATTCTACTTATTCAATTAAATGAGTATTAGAAAATCAGTTCAAAAGGATGTGTTACCAGCGGAGGTTCTGTTTTCAGAGATCTGCCAAGACCACATATTGAAGAGATCTATAAAACCCACTGAACACAGATCTGTCACACCAGTGAACCGGAGAAGTTTAATAATCTAGATGAAAAGTATCCATATTGCAATGGCTATCACAAAACTCTAAAATCTTAGAACAGGCCACAGCTGCATCTCAGGCAGACAGCAGTTCATCCCACCTCTCAGTCTGTTTCCATCATTAATATCACAGTGGATTTATTAAAGTTTTGGCACACTATGCCCTGAACTATCAAGGATTTAAAATTGAAATCAATACAGGAATTAAGTGCTAAGCCTAGCTTTTTCAGCTTTCATTTCCCCAGCTCCATGGAATCATGTAGGGAGAATGACAAAGTCGTACTTTTATTCAGAAAGGTGGAGAAATAGTGGAACAGTGCATAACCTCTGAAATCCTCAAGGATTACTAACATTTTATTCCTAGATCATCTTATTTTGGGAAGTTTTTGAAGACTAAAGTAACTGTTCAATCTACAGGAACTTTAATATATATAAAAAAAAAAAAAAAGGAAAAAAAAAAGAGAATAAAAAAAGTGCGGTTTACTCTACCAAGTTTCTGAGATATCAATTAATAAGGCTGAACATATGGTTACATCTAAATGATGTATATTTACTTGTAAACTGAGTAGGGATTTTGGTCTGAGTCTTGGGTTTGATGTAGGTCTTTTGGGGGGGGGGGGCATGGGGGGGTGGGAGGTGGGGGGGGTGTTTTTTGGGTTGTTTGTGGTTTTTTTGTTTTTTTGTTTTTTTTTTTTTCCCCCAATTTAAGGGCAACATCACACAGCACTGTCAGGGCAATGGCACCTTCTATGTTAAAAAAAATAAAACATGTGCAACCCACATGTCTGATTGTACATTTGCAGCTAAGATCAAGACTGTGATGAAAAAATATTGCATCTAAATGCTTTTGATTTACCTGATCCTTGATTATGAGATGTTTTCTTATACTACTACTGAATAATTCCTTAACATTTAAGAATTTAGCAGAGGTAAAGAAAAGCAGTTGGAAACGTGAATTTAGTATGCATATCTACAAGCATGATGAACTACCATACGGATGTTTTCATTCGGGAGTCAAGTAGTTCTAAATACATTTACTTTGCAGGATTAAGCTACAACTGATTTGAGCTACATAATACAAAATGAAAGTATACTTTTGAGGCAGACAAACAGTGTAAGTATACCTTAACTTAAGCAACTGACTTTACATGTTTTGCCTAAGTATTCTTGACTAGTCATATGAAAATGTGGCTTTACATGTGGGTGATGATTAAGTAGCTAAACTAAATTATTAGTTTTATTATTTTTTTTTAATATACTTGGTCATGAGATCATGATGAGGACAGCATCAGCTAAGGAATCTGCCTGAGACAGTACACCTGTCAAACCATAACCCAGGTGTCCTAAGGCAAGCCCGGGAAGGGCAGAAAGATCAAGTAGAGCAGAAACCCACACACTCACTTGATCTTCATTTTCAAATGCTGTTGATGCCATCCGAGACCTCAGAAATGGGACACCACACTTAAATGGTTTCTTTTACAACTCCAAGAAATTCCAAGCAACTGCTCTTCTAACCATCAGATAGTATTATGTGCTCTGAAAGGATTTACTTTATACTATTTATCTTACATAGGTAAGTATGCCAATAATACCTTGCTTTCTTATTCTTTCTTTAGATCTGAAATAAAATGGTGTGGCATTTTCAGTGATGACTGGCAGACAAAGGGCACAAATGAATGAGACCTGGCAGAGATTTCATGCAAAAAACAGAGAAGCAGCAAGTCTCTGCCAACTGTTCATCATGTTTGCAAGCAGGAGTAAAATTAGATTCACAGTTTTCACTGGATGACTGGGTTCCAAAGCCACTTCTATTATTTCTCAGTAGAAAGTTATGAGCCTTTCTTCCCTAACAAGATACTCCACTCCACCATAACTCTAGTCTCAAATGGGTCAAGATTAGATTACTTTAATAATTTCCAAATTAAAAGTATAGCTTTTGAGAAGTCTACTTCCAGACACCAGACAAGTCAACATATGTACTACGTTTCCATGTATTTCAGGAGGTGATAGGGAAAAATCTTTACACTTTTCTGACAGAGATAATCTCACAGCAAACTTCGAGGGTTGAAATCAGAGATTTCTCACATTGAATCCCTTGGTGAGAACAAGAGGGATATCGGCAAGAAGACCCTCTGTTCTTGAAAACATGCTTTCCAAAGCACCTAGAGTTCCTGCTCTAAAACTAAGTATTATTTTTTAAACATACCTCACCAGAAAAGCTGCAAAAATAGCAAAATCTACTGAACTAGGTGTAGTGGGAAAAAAAATATAACTATTACTTCTTATTTCAGTAGCATGTAATACAGTCTCGCTCTTTCAAACTGCACACTAAATAGCTAAGCTCTGAGGCTCAGAAGTGCCTCATTTTTTCACTGACCTGAATAAACGAACACTGAACAAATACTTCAGTGGATTTAAGCTTTTGCACACTATACTGACTGTAGTTTCCAATTACTGGGTAATGCTTCTCCCATTTAAGAAATGAAAACTTAAAATATAAATCAACCCCGAGTGCTATGCATTAGTTTAAAAGAAAAATAACTGAGGTTTTTAATACTGGGCTTCAGTGTTAATACTTACCTGCTGTCTGTGCAGGGTTTATTCCTATACCATCTAGAAAAAAAAAATAGATTAAAGAGAAAAAAAGAGAGGAAGATGAAACAGACATATTACAATTTACTACACTAAACCTACAGCTCAGAAATATGTCAACAAGATATAATTACTATATCAGGTCTTCATGCAGCTATTTCCTATAACCAAAAATAGTCTTATCACAAGAGCTATGAAGAAACCTTCAGCACAGAAAAGCCAAGCTATATCTTTGGATAAAGCCAAATTAATAATATTAGTGGTTTAATACCTTCATCCCATGCATAAGCAATTTAAATAATGCTGCAATATTATTAAATTCAGTCTGCGGTCTGTAGAAATTATGAAAGAAAAGTCACGTTTGTTTTCATCAGTACTCCTTCACTGAAACTCCAATACAACTATCAAAAAAATCCCCAAAACTATATTCTTACCATTTGTTATAATGGCACTTGTTGCTGCAGGAACTTTGAACTAAAGGAAATAAGAGTAGGACAAAATAACATAAGAGACATAGTTAAAGCAGAAATCGTATGGGGAATATTCAAAGCAACTGTAAATTTAGCTGGTTCAGGTACCAAAGAATTATGAGAAAAGATTCCCTTCAGATTTATAGACAGATTTAAAGTCAAAGTTGATTAAATGTCTCAATACAGAATGTAAAATTTGCAGTACTGAACAACTAACTAAAATCATTTATTATTACTCATTGGAGAAAATATAAAATTTAAGCATCCACAAACTTCTAAGAAGCATACTTATTATGTCTAACAGGAGTTAAACAAGAATTAGCTTGAGCTAACCTTGGTTAATTTTGACCAATTTCCTAGCTTTGTCTCTGGCTCTATTGGGAGCTCTCCAGCTGCACTGCTCCCAGAAAGGAGTTCACTCAGGTTTTGCTTACAAAAGGAAGCACTAACAGCACTGCATCAGGTCCGGCTCCCTCTTCAGATTTCTGACATCAGCTTAAGCATGCTTTGTACCTCCAATCACCGCCACGAGTCTCACTGGTACCCCACCTCCATGCGCATCATACACTGTCAGTTTTACAATATGAAACGCCCTACCCAGGTAGGGTTGTACTGCATACTGGCTTAAAACTATTTCAGAAGATCTGAACCAAGATGAGGAAGACAAAAATAATTATTTCTCAGGACTAGTGGGAGCCTGGCAGGGTCTGAGAAAAATCCTGCACTGTGCAATGTGGTTGGACCACACAGGACAGAAAGGATAGGGTGGGTACAAGTCAATCAGCGCTACTGGGTTGGTCTGAAGACCAAAGGTGGCTCCCTGGATTTCCTTTACTTAGGACAATGAACAACCCACAAGGTAAGACTGGTATTTGCAATTAGGAAGTATGAGTGAAACCTCCTCTCACACCACTTCATCCTCCTCTCCATATTGTGTAACTAAAAGGGCAGGTAACTATGAACGCTAACACTGGGTGCTTCCCTGGAAGAATCGCAGAGCTCTCCCACCTTCTGAACAAGTCACTTCAGCCAGGCCTTTCAATGTCATTCACTAGTTGTGCTTTCTTCATTTTCCAATTTCTCAAGATTTTTAGGTCTGGTTTGCAAAAACTGTGCGCTAACAGCAACAGCTAAAGCTCACAGAAACCATGCCTGAATACAGTACTTTAATATTAGTGTACTGAAAAATTGCCGTATTTATTTCCATACCCACAAAACTAGTATTTTTTTTTTTTATTTTACTTGACCTCTCTTAGCTTTTTATCCACAGCAGGTAAGTCACGACACCTCATCATCTTGCAGGGTGACACAAAAATGGTCATTTTCACAAAAAAATAATTAGGTAACAGTGTCACTGTAGAAAAGTCATGTGGAAAGTAACAATCTGTTTTCATAGGAAGATGTGAATAATGAAGTTGATAAAATAGGAGCTATGTACTTAACAGTAAGAATGTAAAAAACAATATGCCATCTCATAATAGCTTATGCAAACATATCATATGCTGAAGAAAGCAAGCTTTCATTCTCAGGTTCACTAACTTCGGTTCACTAACACTGACTCAGCAGTCTAAGGAGAAGTCTTTTAACAGGTTTGGGGTTTATGTTTTTCTTGGGGATTGGTTTTTTTTTTTTTGGTAATAGGAGAAAATGAGTTTATAAGATTTGAACAGTGGGCTATTATTAATGTCAATCATATTAAGTCCTGCCTCCTGGAATAAGTCCATAACCAAATAAAAACATAAAGGAATAAAACACAAAACACCCTGAACAAGCAGGAAATACGTTTAATGTAAGTCATTTTTCAACAACGTTTTCATTGTAACTAAGTGATACCACAGATCTTTCATCATAAATAATTGAAAAAAAACTAAAAATGTAAATACTAGACTGTAAATGCCTCTTCTAATTTATTTTCTGTCTCTTCTGATACACAACAAAGCATGAAAAGGATGGATCATTCTCAGGAGGATGGACATCTCTACTCATTTTGCTTTTCAGGAGGACAATCTATCTGATCCCGATATGCTAGGTGCACGAGTACTGTGTAGCAACCAGTTAGTGAAGCACTAGTTAAAATTCTCTTATTGTTTCACATTGTACTGCATTAGAAGAGAATAAAACAATTCTGTTATCTTAGCCCAAAATAGTGGGCCAAAAAGCAATAGTTATCAGCATGAAAATCATCACAAATATAATACAGAAAGGGGTACTACCATTGGAAATCATTACACATAATTAGGTACAATATGGTTCGCCACTTAACCAAAAATCCATCCCGTGGTTGCTAAACATGTTTCCCATGCTGAAAATAAACAAGCTTTCTGTGATACAGTCAAATAGATATTCAAGTAGCAAAGAAGTTCTATATTCAGCAGATAATCCCTGGTTTCTCTGAAACTTAACTGGGTAACATCCAGCCTCAAACTCACACTGTAAAAAAAAGAGATTGTTTTCTTTAAAAACTTTATGAATTGATAACTGGGGCTGCCACACAACATATTTTCTCCAATGCTAGGAAATACATGTCAGTATCTACAGTCAGATTCTAAGGAAAAGATGACAATTATTTATCAACAATTATAGTCGTTTCTCACTTTCTACAAAGATGACAAAAATCCTGTACAGAAATAAGGTCATCTCCTTTTGGTGCAAAGAGCAGATAAATGCATTAAACCATAGTATTTTAGCACCAAACTACTGAGATTAACGTTAGAAAAACAAAAGAATAGTTTCAAAATATACATGTTTATGAGAGAAAAAAAATTATTTAATGGAAATGGATTACTACGTTAATAATATTTCCACAAAGGTAAGAGAGGTTTTTTGTAAGTATTGTGCAAACATACATCTGAGGTATGTACCAAGCAGCTCTAAGAGATGAAGGAAAAAAACAACAGATACCATACAATGTAAGTGAGAACATTAACACCATCACAATAAACTGTGACCATTGTGGAAAGAACTATAAATAGATAAAACTGAAGAGAGTAGTGTTTCCAATACTCTACATTTAAATGTATATTTTATAGATAGTCTGTAAGAGAAAATTTTTTAAAAAATTGAGTTATATTTACATTATGCAAACTAAGAGTGCCAAATATATTGGGAAGGGCCGAGACTGTTACACATGATTGAGACTTCCTGAGACCTCCCCATTTAATGATCCAGCTTTCTTTCACTTCCAGCTCTGCCAATCATGAACTGTGAACTTCCACATGTTATGTGATGTGCTAGAGGTGACAGGAAAAATCTGTTAAGTATTTCAGTTATTTCCAAGAGAAAAAGAAAAAAAAAAAAAAAAAAAGACACACACACATCTTGTTTTGTGGTTTTGTGCAATGACAGTAATTCAGAAAACTACTTGGGAAAACTGCAACCTCTGACAACGCACTGTGACTGAAATGTGATATACAAGACCATTCTACATCACAACTATAGCTCTACTGTTCCAGGGGAATTCCAGTTAAGATATGGTCAAACTTTAAGACTCTGAAAAAAAAAACTAAGTAGAAGCTTGCTAAGGCTAAACAGCTGAAACTTAAATCCTTCTCTGCCCAAGAGCTTTCATCACCAAGGAGACAATATTTCCCCTCGAGACCAACAAACACCTCTGTTCAAAATCCAGGGCTGCAGTTTGATCCTTTCCTTACCAGTTTTGCAGTACCTAATATAAAATTTGTATCTGAATCACACAGCATAAATTTATGTTAATCTATGCTGTTCAAGAAACAGAAAGCATTTATAGAAGACAAAAATTCTCTCTCATTCTTTTCGATGCCAGTTCACAAAATAGCAAAGTAGCTTCATTCCTGGGGAAGCGTCTAACATTCTTTTTTTTGTTCTCTGTTTACAAAGCATTTAGTTCTGCCTGGTCTCACAGAGATGCAAAAAGCTTTAGTAACACTTTAGCAATGACAACTATAAACAGTGCCATATTCTGAAAAAACAATCATATGCTCACGTTTTTAATTTCTATTTAACACTGACATAAGCTAATACAAAAGTACTTCACACTGAGGGGCAAATGGTGATTGTATTTTCTTTAAAAGAAAGTGTTTACTGTAGAGACATTTAATGGAATGACTCTTGTATTAGCAACACTGGGCTCTTTTACATTCCATCACACATTTTCAACATTTCTTGTGAGCCTCCAAAAAACATCTACAATTACTCTATAAAAAGATGCTCATCCAGAGTGGACTGATGTCAATCAGCAAAACTCCCATGTATGTTCAAAATACATCAACTAAAATAACGGTTTGTTAAATGTTAATATTTAAGTAATTAATTCTTTAAATCCACTTCACCGAGGACCCTATCACTAACACTGAGGTTCTATGAGTAGGTAAAGTTAACAGGCTGGATGGTAACCCCTCCCACCAGAAGCGGCTCCTCACTCATCTCCCACTGCTCAGTCCCACTCAGTTTTCGTGGTCCCTCATGTTAGCATCAACGGTATGAACCCAGATTAGATAAATAACAGGTGTAAAGACTAAACCATCAAGAAGAAACAGCTTAGTCTGAACCCACACTTACTCTCCAAGATGAACCTGGGGCAGTATGCTCAAAGGACAGAAGGGCATGAAGCAGCAGTCACAGTCAGTTTTGTAAGATACCCTACGCGAGCTTATGCTGCTTGCAGATGGCGGTAGTAAAAGTGCGCCTGATAAAGACAATGAACTAAGTTCAGCTGACTGATACAGCAAAGAAACTTTAAAAAAAGACCCTTTTATTAACGATCCAGTTTGAACGACTCAGTGTGTAACTCCATCAGACCTCAATCTGGCATGTATGAGGTGACAGGAATCTGTAGCAAAGACTAGAAGGAGAAGAGGACTGTCTCTTTTGGAAGCAGCCCATAACTACAGCAGAAACAGTACTTCAAGAGTTCTACTGGACTTTTCAATCTAGGTCTCCATGTATGGATTGTGTGGGCACAGCTGCATTAGTTCAGATTAAAAATAACTGGGAAAAAAATAAAGAATCAGCAAATATCTTTAACAGCATTTATTATTCTGCATATTATCCTGGTCAAGTAAAGTTACAACAAGCAAACAATCCACAACCTCCTCCCACAAGCTGTGTTTCCACGAAGAACTTCTGCCACATAATGGTATAACACTAGCAGCATAAGGAGACTCAAAACATGGAGTCCATTATCTTTCCTAATTATTTATTTCATTACAATTCCAATGCTTGAACAAATGAAATTTTCAATAACTCAAAATTTCCCAAGTTTTCCCCAAAAGGCAGAGATGGAACTGCAAGAACTAAATCTCAGCTGAATCTGTTTGCTGACTAGATGAAAAAAGACATGCTTTTAAGTACCTTATTTTACTGTTTGTACCCAGCTCAACATCTCTTAATCTTCGTACACTTTATCTGAGGCAAGCAGGATGTATCTCTTCAAACATATTATATATGCAATTTAGGCACCTATTGGTTTTGGATTCCACGTGAAAGATCAAACACCCAGAAGACAAAGAACGCATTATCCAAGTCTTATTCACTTAAGTCTGTTTGTCTGAATTTAACCCATATGCCTAATCTCAGTACCTTCTATAATCAAAAACTGTATGTCTTCCAATAACAGAGATTACTGGAACTGAATGCAAGAAGAGTTTAAGAGTTTCCTGGATAATTCCAGACAATTTTCTGGATATCCTATATAGGCATCTTAAAATATTAAACATTCAACAGCAATATGTTTTAATCACGGTCACCATCATAAATTTTTATGTTATAGATATAAAATGACTTAATCTGATTGCAAAGAAGAACAGGAAGTCTGCCAATGCCTGCTGTGGAAATTGTGCAAGAATGGCTAAATTTAGGATTCTGAAAGTTTTGGCAGGCCCACACTGACTTCAGTAAAGCTTGTGTCCATGTATACCTACTAACAAGAGCATTCCTTGTGCTCAATGAACCATTTTATTTTGCAATGAAAAAGCTTTTGCTTTCAGGAATGTTCAAAAAGTTAAAAAGAAACATCATTACTTTTTACTTACTTCTTCTGCAGCAAACTTCAAGACAGCTGTGAAAGGTGTACTTTCAGGCACACTTAACCTAAAATTACAATGGAATTAAATCCACGACTGCTAAGACAAACTGAAAAGTAGCTTTATTTGCTATTACACAATTTACCAATGGTAGCACTCTTGCCAAAGGTGTGCACGCACTATTTCAGGTCTAGAGCAAAACCTGAAAGGACGCGCGTGGCATCAGAACCCATGTAGGAAAGCCCCGACAGGTGAGTTAACAACAGAAAACCTCCACTCGCCTCACACGGAGGGAGAAAAATGATGCCGCCGGTTTTCACGGCCCTCACTCGCATCACGCAGCGGCCCCACAGCGCCCACCCGGCCCCGGCTCCCCAGCCCGCCACTCACACTTTGTAGGGCAGCCGCGGGTCCGAGGTGAGCGTCACTTTGAAGGTGACTTTCGACCTGCGGAGAGCGAGGAGAAAGCGGGGGGTTAGGGCCGGGGGGACGGAGCGGGGCCGGGGGGGCCACTCCAGCACTCACATGATGGTTCCAGCGCCGCCGCCGCTCCGCACTAACACGTCAGCCGCCGCCCGCGGATGGGGAGGGGCCTTCCGCCTCCGCAGCTGCCCGCGGGGCGCCTGAGCGCAAACCGAAACTAAACGCGCCCCGCTGACCCTTACCGGGGAGGGAAGCGGGGTGCTTTGTCTCTGGACCCGACTGGCTGCGGGGACGAGAGAGGCTGAGGCGTGGATTAAGTGCACTGGAGAGTGACGGTGAGGATTTTTAATAAGGCAGTGGCGCAGGATGTTCCGCGGCCGAGTGAGGACGCAGGTGCTGGGACCCCACTGTTTCTGTAGGCGACGGGCCCCCCCTTCTTCCCAACGGCTGCCAGCAAGGGGTTGACGGATTTAAATGGTGCTTATACATAGCCGCAGGTTTATGTGTGTGCGTGTATTTATATACATGCGCAAACGTATATGCGTAATGCGCGGGGGGGGGGGGGGAATGGTTCATCGCTGGGTTTGGTTACCTGAGGTTGCTCTCCAGTCGGAATGTCCTGTAGGTGCTTGTTGCAGTTAGGAAGGGGAAGGCGGATGCAAATATGCACCGTTTCCCACAGCCTGCATATTCAAATCGTTTGCATTTTCCTTGCGGTGGGGAAGCCAGAGGTGGGGGTTTTGTTTGGAAAGTGATGGGATGCTTTTATGGCAGAACACCAGCAGTTTTCGGTTTTGTTCGTCTGTGACTTTTGACAAGCTAATTTATTTTAAAGGATTCATGGAAATGCAAATTAATTTTTGTCTTTCGTGCTTGTTCATCTGTTCATACAGATGATGGCCAAGTTTCCAACTCTGGGTATGTCAGTATAGTAGAAAATATTTTGCCAGACTGCTTTCCTATTTTCTCTAGTTTCTACCGTTTGCAGGAAGGACAGCTTTCATTGTAGCCTGAGGTGCTTGTTATCACACATTGCTCGCCAGACTGGTCATGGCAAAGCACTTTGTTGTGTTCGCTTTAACTGGGGTCTCATTAGGGTTAAGGTAGAAGAAATACCATACAAAAGGCAATTGACACATTGGAGTAGCTAATTTCTTACCTAAGGACTGTCTTTGTGCCGAGCCATGAAATTCAGCTTCTCACAGTTGTGTTGCTCTTATTTGAATATTAAAAAAACAAAACAAAACAACCTGAAAAAAGTTCAGAAAAGAACAAGAAATTCAGTAGCAGCTTGTACAACGGCATTAATATTTCCTTATATCTCCTGCATTTATGTTACTGTGTCTGCCTTTCACAACTATCACATTGGTGGCTCACGCTCATTTTGTAATCCATTAGTGATCTCATGTCTTTTTCATCCCCCTACTTCTAGGAGATCACATCTTAAGTTAGAAATAATAGCTTTCTCTAAGCATGTAGCCTTGCATTTTGTGTAGCTAAATGTCATCCCATATTTATTCTTGCCCTCTTCAAGATCAGTTATTTTTCTGTGATGTCTTTGATTTATACAACTGTCATCTGTAGCTTTCATTAACACATTGTTGTTTTCTGTGCCAAGGTCATTAATGCAGATGTGAAATAAAAGACTGATCATTTTAGAAATTAATTTCTAGCCTTTCACTCTTAAGGACGTCCCCTCTGAGGAAATGGGTGCACGCAAATCTTCATGCTGTTGAAGCTGGACTGCTTTTAGTAACCAAATCTTGGTTAAATCTGGTTTGAGCGTATGTGTGTTAAAATGCTGAGAACAGTCTAAATTGAGGCCTGGGTAGTCTTGTGTTCTGGCCACATGGTCTTGACCTCTGCTAGGCAGAGGAGCCAACGCTTGTGACCATCAGTGTCATGGTTCAGGGAACTGATTTGCTAGAGAACCATACTTTTAGGTGGTTTTCATCTGGTTAGCTTCCTGAACCAGCAACAAAGGATACGAGGAAGCGTGTCTGGTTGGCAGTGATACCGCACAGCACTTTAGGTCAGCTTAAGATGCTGTGGAGCTGTATCCTGAGCAGGCATCAAGAGTTTTATGGTATCCTTTTTTGATGGTAATGTCAGGATGCTAGGTGCCCACCAAAGCTGCTCTTATCACTCCCCTCCTCAACTGGACAGGGGAGAGAAAATACAACAAAAGACTCCTGGGTATTGATAAGGAGAGGGAAAGATCATTCAGCAATTACATCAAAGGCAAACCAGACTCAATTTAGGGGAAATTAACTTAAATCTATTACCATACAAATCAGAGTAGTACAGTGAGAAATGAAGGCCAAATCTTAGAAACACCTTCCCACCACCCCCCTCCCTTCTTCCCAAGTTTAACTTCACTCACAATTTCTCTGCCTCCTCCCCAGCAGTGCAGGGGGACGGGGAATGGGCATATGGGGATTGCGGTCAGTTCACCACACATTGTCTCTGCTGCTCCTTCCTCCTCAGAAGGGAGGACTCCTCACACTCTTCCCCCGCTCCAGCATGGGGTCCTTCCCACAGGAGACAGTCCTTCACAAGCTTCTCCAACGTGAGTCCTTCCCACAGGCTGCAGTTCTTGACAAACTACTCCAGTGTGGATCCTTTCCACAGGGTGCATTCCTTCAGGGACAGACCGCTCCTGCCAGCAAAGCTGTGTGGGTTTCCCATAGAGTCACTGCCTCCTTTGGATATCCACCTGCTCTGGCGTGGGGTCCTACACAGGCTGCAGGTGGATATCTGCTCCACCATGTACCCCCTTGGGCTGCAGGGGCACAGCCTGCCTCACCACGGTCTTTACAAGGGGCTGCAGGGGAATCTCTACTCCAGCACCTGGAGCACCTCCTCCCCCTCCTTCTTCACTGACCTTGGTGTCTTCAGAGTTGTGCCTCTCACATATTATCACTCCTCTTTCCAGCTGAAGTTGCCAGGTTTTTTCCCCCCTCCTTCTTAATAGGTGCTAGCACCACTGCTGATGCACTCAGCCAGTGGTGGGTCCATCTTGGAGCCAGCTGGCATTGGCTCTGTCAGACATGGGGGAAGCTTCCAGCAGCTTCTCACAGAAGCCACCCATGTAACCTGCCTGCTACCAAAACCTTGCCACGAAAACCCAATACACAGGGTTAGGATCTTTGAATGTAGATTCGGGAATCCAACTGATTTAATAAAAATAAGACCTCTGCAGTGCTGGATATTTATAATTTTACTATGCTGCCTAACCTTTTTTTCAAAAGCTAGCAAGGTTGATTTTTTTTCTGAGAATTTACAATGAGTAAAGGAAGGAGAATGTGTATGGGTTTTCTCTTTCAGCTGTGAGAGTTAATGGGACTTGGTCTCCCGTCTGCAAACAAGTCAGGCTTGGATTAGAGGTGCATGTACATTACTACTGGATTTGTATACAACAACATTCTCCTCAACTGAAGAAAAACTGGTCTGATCCCAATGAAGTCCGCCTCCTTTCCCCAGGGTTGAAGCTAGAGAAAAAAATGGAGTTCTTTATGCAATTTGTTTTCCCTACAGCTCTTACATACCCACACTTAAATATGTTGTGTGATAGCAGTGAGATGTAGCTTTGGCTTTTCTAGCTCTGTAGATGACAAATGGAATGACAATTTCAGCAATTAAAACAGTTGGGATTTCTGGCAATTTGTACACACATTAGTACAACAGAAAGCTTTTAAGGCAGGAAAATGTTAAAAAAACCAAATCAGAAAATAACAAAAAATATAGCCCCTCTGGATGCTAAGGTGTGACTGAGGTGAATTAAAATACCTCTGACAACACTTCAGGAAAATCTTTCTATTTGTAAATGGCATTGTAAGAGAGAAAAGTACTGTGATACGTAGGAGTTACTCATCCAACATGCCTGTATTGCAGCGGTAGCCACCTGGCTGGATCAAGTTTAATTGTGTTGAAAAGGGAAATGAACAAAAATAAGGAAGGAGGTGAAATATAAAAGGTACAAAAAAAGAAAATTACCTTACCAAGATCTATTGATAGGTTTTTAATTGCCTGAACAAGATGATGACTCTTCATAGCAAAGGGTAAAATGCTTCTGGAAGGTGCAACTACTTCTTGACATAAAATGGGACATGTAAAATTACAATAGAGGGTGGAGGGAGGTGTTTGTTTCTTGAGTAGTTACATCCTATACAGAGACGTTTCCTTACTAGACACTTGTAGCCTGAATACAAGTTCCTAATAAACATTTGCTGAATTGCCATAATTAATTACCATAATTATTTTACTTACAGGCAACAGGGGGAAAAAAGCTCTTTGATGGTATTTTCTATGCACTTTCTACCTACAAAATAGAGTGCAGTGTGCTGGACAACTGTATTTAAAGCAATGTTATTTAGCCTGTTTATTCCTGCTTTGTTTCCTATTTTCCCTTGTTGCAGTCCGTTAGATACAGTATGTTGGTGTGCTTTCATTTAGAGCAGCCAGAACTGGGAATCACAGTTTCCTGCTCATCCAGCAACAAGTAAACATGTCCACAGTTCAGAGTTTGGCCATAAAATCAAGCTGCAGTGTTTGTGTTTTTGAAAGATTTCTTCTTTGTTTCTGAAGCACACAGTGTGTCTTAAAATCTTTTAACCTTTGTATGTATTTCTAACATTCATCAGTGCATGTGCCATTTGAAGAACACTAAATTTATGCTACAAAGCAAGTGGCCATGTAGAGGAAGGTTACCACACAAGCATCCATCCTAAGAAGTCTATGGAAGTATCAACTCTGAAATTTTATGAAGCCCACTAAAATATCTCTCACCTGCAAAACATGCTTTTAGCCTTGTCAGTTGGGACTTGATAAGGAACTAACTTCATGCAGCTTTGCTGAAAAAGCACTGAAATAAGCCTTTTATCAGGTACCCAGAAAATGACATCTTAGCACTCAGCAAAGTTTTCTCCTAGGCTCTCAGTTAATTAAACAAATGAGCACTGCCAAGCAACCTGTTACAGGAGGGAGAGAGGGAGGCAAAGGAAACACAGTGTTTCTCCTACCAGCTACTTCCACATGGAGCACACCAGTAACAGTCCAATTCCTCTTGCTTTTTGAGGCTGTGGTTTTACCAGATGTGTGACTTAGAGCAGTGCTAACCCCCATGAAAAAGGTCCTGTTTTTATCCCCACTTCTGCCTCACTGTTCCTGGCCTCCTGCCTGCTTGCTGTTCCTTGCTCTGGCTTTGTTGGTTGGTGGACCCACTAGTGAGGCGGTTCAAATCAGCAGAACGTGTGGATGATTCACTGCTGGCTCATGGTGTGGGGTCAGCTCAGGGAAAGGTCTGAGCTGACACATCAGAGGAGGCAAGTCATTGTGGTCGGCGACCGGAGGAGGCAACAAGATCTTCCTCTTCTGTCAGTAGGAAAACATGGGATAAGGCTTCCTCTTGATATCATTTCCTATAGTCAGGGGGCTGGGATCCTCCTCTGGTGGGTACATCCCCCTAACCCGCCTTTGGCTCAGCATGGTGTTGTGTCTCATCTCTC